CAACAATACTACAGCGTGAATAAAAGTTACTCCTTCTTTCTTTGCGTGAACATTTGGGCGGTGTTATGCAAATCTTCCCACACAGGAACGTAAACATGTGGTGGCGTGTTTAAACGAGGCGTTTTAGGAGGGCGTGGACAAGTTTTTACTTTTATAAAGAATATCTCTTTGGATTTGAGACTTTAGTCTTTGCAACTTTACAGATCTTCTTTATGCACCAAGAGCGTGTAACACTTCAAAGAGAAAGAAAAAATGTAAATCGCATCATATGACCCCTTTAAGCAGTTTTTTTCCACCTTAGGTGTTCTGTCAACAAATCTTGAGATGGACTTGCATTCTGCTTCTTTTGATTTGCTGTCTTTCCCATCCCACCACTTTTTCCTTCAGGTTTCATTTTATAAAGCAATATGTTTAAAGCATTCCTGGCTCGTTTGGTTTCATTAAAATGTTGTGCAGCAAAGAATAAACAATCTTGAAGGACACACTTCTATTGCAGTTTTCTAAATGCTGTAGTGTTTTTCTTCTCTCTGCTTCCAATCTTGGATGTTAGTAGCAATGCAAACTGTTTGATGTCCAGCGATTTCTGTGCTAATTGTATCCCACACCACATGACCTGTGTGAGAGCTTAGGTCCTAAAACATCAAATAATAAACTGACCACCATAGTTGGTAGGTGGGTAAATAAAATATTAAAAAATAATCACGTTGACATTTAAACAGTTCTTCATAGGTGTTTATTTCTGTAAGTTAGCATTACTCAGTGCGTGCCAGGCATTTTTCTTGTCAGAGAAGCTTGTAAAATGCACTGGCTGTCTTTACTGAATCACGCTTTTCATTGCTTTACTCAGACCCCTAAAACACATACTTGCCTGTCACTGCTAGCAGCCTCACGTTGCATTTGTTTTGATTTGATCAATCTTTGGGTTTTGTGGGAATTCCTCCATAATGCCTTCATGTAAGAAAGCGCTGGGAGTGTAAGAGGCTTCAAAGAAGCATGAACTTTAGAGCGTTTTCTCTTTTATTTGAGCATTGGGATGTAGTGAGAGAGGTGTCAACATAGGCTGATTGGAAAAAACTCCAAAACGTACCTATACACACAAGTAACTGCAGTTTCCAGCTGAAATGAATGCTAGATACAGTTAAACACCAAGAACCTTTATTCCTTTTTACACAAATTATGATTATTAATCAATAATCTGTCCTTGCAAAGCCTTATTCCCATGCAGTCCCATGCATAATACTGTTATTATTACATCAAAACACTTTTATCGTAGTGCATGATTTGTAAACAAATGTTTTGATGTAGTAAACAAGCTCAGTAGCGCACCTAGTGCAGCATTGGACTTGCGATACAAAAAGCTTTGGAGTCCCGTGAAACACAAGTCACGATAAAGACTTGTCAAAGAAAACTAAAATGCCTGTTTCTTCAGCAAATGTGTTTTTATGTTTGCTTTTGTTAACACTGTCGGTTAGTTTTACTGTAGGTGGATTGTTATTTTCAAACATGATAGTGAATTAACCTTTTAGCACCACTCACCGGACATTTAATTTCTGCACGGCTACAATACGCAATAACCAACATAAAAAACAAACAAACAAAAAAACCTTGTCAGATTTACGTTCCATCTGTTTTGGATAAAACTGAATGCACTTTTAGCGCCACTAATGGGCATTTCACTTTGAAAATGTCATGAAACATGCAAAAACAATGTAATATTTTGCAGAAGTGTCACCCCAGTCATGTTTTCCTATATGAGCCTGGATTGAAAGTTTACTTGCAGCAAAAAAAGTGGTTTGACACCATGTCAGCAAGGAGGTTCTCTATCTGTGGGATGACCTACACAGAGTCCCTTCTTTCAGTCATCTATAACAATTGCCAAATCTCACAGCCTGTTGAATCATGTGAAACCGGGGGGGAAAAAAGGGAGGGTGGAAAGTTCACAGTTGGATGGATTCATTCTCTCAGGTGATTACACTGAAACGTCTAGTGGGTTGTGAGTGAGAAATAAACACTGGGGCACTTTCATTTCATTTTAGCGAGTCAGAGATGAATTCCTTTCCTCACGCCATCTCCTTTGCATCATGCTCAGGAACTCAAAACATTGCGTTGCGGCATGGTGATAATGTCTTTAACAACACTTGACTCGTCCCGGCACGTCCCGTACTGTTCTCCTAGAGCTATAGCCCCCTAGGTGCAGTCATTTGATTTGACCTTTTTGGGGGGAAAAAGTTTGTAGTGATGGAAAGTTTTCATCGGATCTCAGTAGGATAAGAATGTTGAAGGCTGGAGATATCAGTCCTTTCATCCTCCCCACCCTACTAGCCTGCTGTGGCTTGCACAAACCCGGTGGGGGCATGAGTCTGATAATGGTCCTTAACATGAGTGGATTCGTAAATGTAAATGTAATGATAAGATTTTTAAAAATATTTTTTCCAAAAATCAATCTGTGTTTGTCCATACATAACCACTGCCGCAACACTGTTTAAACTGCTTGGAAGTTGCTTCCTTCCATATGTGTGTGAGCATGTGTGTGTATATATCTATCTATATATATACGGTATATATATATATGGACCCTAAGATTTTATTATTTTATTAATATTATTTTGTGTAAATAAGTCTGATCACTTTGAAATAACTATATAATAACTTTCTCTCTATAATCATAATAATCATCATAATAATAATAATAAACTTGTATTTTTGAATAACATTACTTAGATGAAAAAAAAAGTGTTGACAAACAATGTACTTTTTTCCTAGATGCAGAAGTCTGGTAAGGACTATTGGTGTTTTAATAGATATTTTAAGTTTAAATAGTTTAATTGAGTATGAAGTATGTGATGCTGGTCTTCACAAGTACCTCTAATTGTTGTAGTTTATTCAATAAATCTAAGGAACAAATCTGTAAAAACTGACTGTACATATCCACCTTTATTAACAATCCCATCCTTCATCCCAACAGGTTCAGACCTCCAGGTTTGTTTTCCAAAGAATCTAACGTGCTGCACCAAGAAGATGGAGGAGCGTTATCAGGTGGCGGCGCGACGGGACATCCAGAACCTTCTCCAGATGTCCAGCTCTAGTCTGAAGTTCCTCATCTCACGCAATGTGGCTGCTTTTCAAGGTTAGTTCATTGATTTTGGAGACTAGAACTGGTTTATTGTCTGCAACGCTTAGCAGATGGCTCCTGAATTATCTTACCACAGTACGTGTGTGTTTATACTTTATACTTAGTTTATACAAAACCTTAGTCACTTTCTACCTGGCTGTTGTTTGGTATGATTTCAAATACATGGTACAGTAAAGCATTTCCAGTGTATACTTTCCCTGAGACCCACAGTATGTGATTTAGTTCCCTGGTGGCTCCCCAGAGGTTTCATTATGCTGTCTTTTCGGTACATTTCAGGTCGACCAGTGTTCATTTAAGGTTTGTGAATTAATGGCTTCCTTGATGAGCTGTACACCAAGATGCTTGTTTTGAGGCCTTAATGAAACCCTTCACAGCTTCATAATATGAGGTCATAGGAGCCTACGCACCTTTGCGGAGGAGGGTATCCTTCATCTGAACCAAATGACAAACCTGGATAACCTGTAATCTCCCATAAGTGCTGATGCAAGAAGATGCACTGCTCCTGACAAAGACCTCTCTGTCGCCTACCGCAAATTCTCAGCAGAGGCTCAGTTTCAGGTTTCACAAAGGTGGTTAGTCAGTGTGTAGCGGCTCATGATGGGCCGGTTCACTGTGAGTGTGTTGAGTTCTTGGATTGCTGCAAATGTGCTAGGAGAGTGAAGATTAACAGTCTCCATTACATTAGAAGTGAAGTGTCACTTTTTATGCTGACTTTGAGAGTGATGTAGTTTTTCATTTGAGCGAGTAAGATGGTGCTTCATATGTCTTTTTTTGTATGCTTTAGTCAATCATTATTTTCATTTTTTATTGTTTATTGTTTTTGACTGTATTTTGAGTTATCACACACTGAATCTGAAAATAGTTGAGTCGAATCCATCCGTCAACAGCCAGATCATAGTCCAAGAGATATTATCATAATCCCCCCCCTTTTTTTTTTTTTTGGTAACCGTGTTTTCCCTTTGTATCCCAATTGTAGGGCAGGAATTTCTAAATAAAATGTTAGAAATTATTTTATATACAATTTTTTATAAATGTATAAAAAAATTAACTTTATACATATGTATATTATGTAATTTTTATATAATATAAATGTATAAATCTAAAATCTAAAAATATAATATTTATAATAATAATAAATGAGTAATATAAAATAATAAATATAAGTAATAATTAATATCATAATACTGATCCTACATATATTTTAGTAGTAGCAGCAGTATCTCTCTCTCTCTCTCTCTCTCTCTCTCTCTCTCACTCTGTGTATATGCACCATCTGATTTTAAATCAGAAAAAAATATTATGGTCTGCTTCCAGTATTAGCCCAATCCGACCAAAGCTGAATATTTGCAGATATCAAAATGTTTACTGATATATTTTGCAACCCTTTCTCTCACAGAATGTATACAGCTGTGAGAAACCCCTTGTTTTCCATATCTGTGCTAAGAAAACTACATTCAGTTTCAGTACACAGTACAATTTATGGCATCACAAAGCTCCTCCTTTGCATTGTACTTGCATTTCTGAGTTGTGACTGACAGTTCAGACGCAGGTGTAGACATGCTTCTGTTTACTGCCTACATTGGTAGACAATATCAGTGTGAGAGTTTCCCTCAAATTTGAGACTATATAATTAAACCAAACCTCTTGCGTTATATCTCTTGTGGTTTGGGGCCCTTTTTATCTCAATTTGAGACCTGTTATATCACATCATTTGGAAGAATGTTATTCAGGTGGCAGTTACCATAGTAAATAAAAAAATGTTTTTTGCACATTTTGTTGGGTGTAGACTCGGGGAGAGCCCTGATCTAGTGTCTAATCACAAGACTCATTTTATGAGATTAGGCCCATATTACAGGGCCCAGTCCCAGCCTCCTGCTGTCTAACTAGCTATTACCTCTTGCCTGCGATACTGAATGCTGTTGTCTTGCAACAGATATGAAAACAAGGAATGAAACACAGCTGTACACATACTATGAGAAATATGGATGGCTGCACAATATATCAGTAACCAACCATATTGATATTGGCAAATATGAAAATTTCAGCGCTGGTTCGATTGGGCTAATTTTGTGTGTATATATATTAGGGCTGAACGATTTTGGAAAATAATCTAATTGCG